TGGAAACGGTAGGCGCAGCTTTCGTTGACGAAACAAATAAACATCAGTTGCAGCTACCTAAAGAGTACTCCATATATTCCGCCGAATTGTATGCCATATCTAAAGGCCTACAACATGTATTAAACCAACCCAAATTGGAAGCAGTCATTTTCACAGATTCTTTAACCGCAGTACAACGAATATTAAGGGTTTAACCCAAACCACCCAATACTATGCCAAATTAAAATTGATCTAGAAGAACTTTACAGTAAGAATAAAAGGGTAGAATTTGTTTGGATTCCATCTCATGTAGGCATAATAGGTAATGAAAAAGCTGATCGGGAAGCTAAAGAAGCCTGCTATATCAATAGACCAAATAAAGAGCTCCTAAAAATTCCTCATTCTGACATTCAAAACACCATCAAAGAATTTTCAATGAGAATATGGCTCGAAAGATGGAAAAATCTTGACGACAACAAACTACAACGCATCAACCCAAATTTGTCACCAAAAGGGATAATGCCACAAAAACGACGAGATCAAGTCATACAACACCGATTAATAATAGGACATACCAGGTTAACCCACCAGTACCTAATAAAGAAAGAACAACAAAAACTGTGCTATGTTTGTGATATTCCTCTGACACTCGAACACATTATTGTTAGTTGCCCACTCTATCGCCTGGAACGACTTTGAAGTGATTTACCAAGTGATCTGAAAAGTGCTGACTAAGTTTCTAAAACTAACTAAATTGTACAATCTAAGATAAAAGTAGACTTAAGTTATCAATTGTAAATAGTAGTTATAAGCAAACATCTCATTTTATGTACAACTCTTTCCCGCCAATAAGCTTGGTGATGGTGATTGTTAATTTTTTATTAAATAAACCGCGTCATGGTTGACGCGGTTTATTTAATAAAAAAAAACAAATATTATGCTATAGAGACCTCAGCCTAAATCTTAGAAAACGAATACTAAAGTGTTATGTGTTTTCTGTTCTTTTGTATGGTGTGGAGACATGGACTTTAAATAAACAATGTCTCAATAAATTTTAAGCATTTAAAATGTGGACATATCGAAGAATGCTGAGAATCTCCTGGACAGACAGAATAACCAATGAAGAAGTACTAAGAAGAATAGAGAACAGCAGGGAGATACTGGATTCCATCACAATAAGAAAACTACAATATCTGGGTCATTTATAACACGTGGTGACAGATATGAATTCCTAAAACTAATACTGCGGGGAATGATTCAATTAAAGCGCAGCATAGGTAGAAGAAGAATGTTCTGGCTGAGAAATCTCAGAGAGTGGTTTGGATGCAGCTTAACTGAACTCTTTCGGGCTGTAGTGTAAAAAGTTAGAATAGCAGAGTGATGATTCCAATCTTCGTCGCGGAGGTCTTAATGTTTCTGTCTTTATGTGATTTTTTTTTTAATTCGAAATATGTGTCTCGAGGATCTGTCTACGTGTCTGGGTGGATAGAGTTCGAAACGATGACGTCCTTAATAGAGCCGGCGTGGAAAGAGAACTCTTTGAATTAATTAAAAAACGCAAGATTGGTTACCTTGGGCACATATTGAGAGGAGCAAAATATGAAATACCACAGTTAATCCTACAAGGGAAGATCGAAGGTAGGAGAGGAGCCGGCCGCAAACAATTGTCCTGGTTAAGGAATATTAAAGAATGGACAGGAATACACAATACAGGTGAGCTGTGTCACGCCGCCAAGAACAGAATTCTAGTAATGAGATAGTCGCCTACACACTTTGGTGTATGGCATGTTAAGAAGAAGAATGTGTCTCGACTGCTAGTGGTCATTGACACGGGTACAATTTACATTTATATTTACATTTTTAATGCTTTTACATTGGGAACAATATTACTTACAATACACTTTTTCAAATACATTTTTTTTTTTAATTAAATTGTATAGAACCACAAAGTAGAAAGATTTCTTGGTTGACGAAACTAAATTAAATTGTATTTGCAGTTTCTTTAAATTGTGTTTTTTAAAAAGTTTAATATATTATTATAGTTCCTGATTGGTATTGAATGAATTAATGAAATTAAATTATTATTAATTGTCTATTATAGATGAGATTTCTTGTGGGGTTTGTGGGATTTCCTAAAGATTCGAAACATTCTGCGAGAATGCTTTCCACCGGACTGGATCTGAATGTTCCTAGACAGAGTCGAAGAGAAGTATTTTGGACTATATTTAGTGAACGTTGTAGTGATTTACTTAAAGACATACTAGAGAACACTACCATAGTCAAGTTTGGGGTGGATAAGAGCTCGGTATATATTTAGTAGTATTTCGCCACTCTTCACGGTTTTGTGCGTCTTGTTGCCATTTCTTGGATATTAGTGTTCTCGTTCATCTTGAGTCTTCTAGTCTCGCTATGTGATCTGCCCAATTCCATTTCAGCTTGGCTATACGTTCCTGTTCTTTTCCTTAGGTCTTGGTTGAATATTTTGTCAACAACTATGTGGCCATTAAGATGTATAATCTCGTATTGGCTTTAAACTATTCATTGGGTCTTCGTCAATAATGGTAAAAACGCGCCTTTTGTCGGTTTTTGTCTCTGGTACGTCTACCACAAAAACTAATTTTCTATCTTCTTCGTCAATAATTAGCATATTCACCAGTTCTTCCCGTCAATATACACCAAATATACCACATATTAATGAAACTTTATTTAGTAAAACGTTTCATTCATTTGCTTCATGAATAAATTTTAAAACATCTCATCGTTTAGACTTTTGGCTGGTATTCTTTTGACCCTCGATTCAAATATTTGCTTAACTTATAGTAATTAGCGATTGTAATATCCTTATTTACCATTAAATATTTGAAACACAAGGAACTCGGAGAAAACTTCAGCACGATTGCCAAAGTATCCAAACAGAACAGTTTCATTAATATGTTCTACACAATAGAATATATATGTGTATGAATACGTATGTTCTGAAGCTATTTTCTTGCGGAAATTTAAAGTAATTAATATTTAAATGAGAATAAGCCACAATTAACGGTTCTTCTTCTTTAAGTGCCATCTCGGCGACGAAGGTTGGCAATCATCATGGCTATTCTGACCTTCGAGGTAGCTACTCTGAACAATTGCCTTGAGCTGCAACCAAACCACTATCTCGGGTTCTTTAACCAGGGAACGCGTCTTCTTCCTACGGTTCTCCTACCCTCTATCTTTCCTTGAATTATGAGTCTCAAGATGTTGAATCTTTCGCCTCTCATTACATGTCCGAGATATTGCAATTTTCTTTCTTTTATTATATTTTCCATTTTCCTCTCTCTGCCTATTCTCCTTAACACTTCTGCATTCGTGACTCTATCTACCCATGAAATCCTTAACAATCTTCTAAATGTCCACATTTCAAAGGTGTTAAGTCGATTTACTGTATTCCGGTTTAATGTCCATGATTCAACTTCATAATAGAGTACACTGTGTTTATAGTATTTAATTAGCCTTATTCTGAGAGCCAATGTAAGATCTTTGCTGCATAAGATCTTTTTCATTTTCACGAAGTTGGCACGTGCTTTTTCAATTCTGACTCCTATTTCTGCAGTATAATCGTTATTTGCTGTGATTATCGTTCCCAAGTAAGTAAATCTTTTTACTCTCTCAATCTGCTGGCCGCCTACTGTTAGTATTTCATTTGTATTGTTGTTCTTGCTAATTTTCATGAATTTGATTTTTTTGATATTAAGAGAGAATCCGTATTCTCCACTATATGGTAATATTTTGTTCATTATTCTTTCTTCATAAGTCTTCCAAGTTGTCGGCTATTATGACTGTATCGTCAGCATACCTAATGTTTTTAATTAAAGTTCTGTTTACTTTTATGCCGACTGTCTCGTTTAACAAAGCTTCTTGTATGGTTTCTGCAGAATAAGCATTAAACAATAACGGCGACAGTATGCAACCTTGCTTGACCCCTCTCCTTATCCCCACTTCTTCTGACACTTCTCTTCCAATTTTCACATTTGATCGTTGGCTGTAGTATAAATTTGATATCAATGTTACATCCCTCACATCCAGATTCTTGTTTTTGAGTACTTTTATAAGTCGGTCTTGTTTTACTTTATCGAATGCCTTGTTGTAGTCTATAAAGCATACATAAAGATCTCGATTAACATCCAAACATCTTTGGGTCAGCACGTTAAAAGAAAATAGTGCCTCTCTTGTGCCCACTCCATTCCGAAATCCAAACTGGGAATCACTAATATCCATCTCCAGCTTAGCGTGTATTCTATTATGGATAATTTTTAGCAGTTTTTAAGGTATGTGACATTAGACTGATCGTTCGATAATCCCTACATTATTTGGCATTTACTTTCTTTGGTAAACAAATAACGGTTAAAGTAATAATAAAATAATTAACGGTTAAAGTACGTTTATTGACGTTTCAATTTCCACTTCGGAAATCGTTCTCAAAATACAAACATTGTTTGTATTATTTTGAGACCTACTTTAACCTTTAATTGTGGTTTATTCCCATTTAAATATTAATTATGTTCTACACAGTTTTCTGCCATCCAGTTTAGTAATTTGACCTATTCTCTGTCGCATGTATCCCTCGATTTCTTCGTTAGCGAGTTTTGTGTTGTTTTTTCCGCTTATTTGCGACTTTGTCGGGAATTTCAAAACTTTCCTGAATCTTCACTTTTTAGGTTTAACAGCAGCAGATGTTTATTTATGTTTGACATAATTACCCTAACGACGATATTGCCTACGATACTATGGCAAATTTTTAGAATTTTTAGAAATAATTAGATTGTGAATACGATAACAAACTAGTATGTCATAAAAGTTTGTATGCACCATGAGCATTAATAGATATGTATACTTTCGGGCGACCTACAAACATTCGGACCAAAGGCTTTCGTTTTTGTAAGGTAGTCGCCCTCAGGCATAAACATCTACTTAATGCCTTTGGTACATAAACAACAAGATATTATACTGTAGGTTTATTATATGTAGATTTTTTTATTTAGAGAGAAAAAACCTATACCGGAGAAGAATTACCGTATGTTTTTGGAATTCCTCTAGGTGGGCCAAAGTATCATTTTACCGATAAATATACCGATCAAGAACGCTTATTTTCTGAAATTGTTATGATGTATTTTTCTAATTTTGCAGAGACAGGGTAAGTACTTTTTAATTATGTTTTTATTACATACAGAACTAACTCTCATTAATCCATCATCCTGCCTACTCCTCAATGTCAAGTGACTGATAAGATCAAATCAGATCTTTTAGTTCTTCTTTTTCTTCAAGTTCCACTCCTATCGGAGATTGGAAATCATTCTGGCAATTATAATTTTGTTGGATACGCGCCTGAATAGTTCAATTGAACTGCATCCAAACCATTCACGGAGATTGCGTAGCCACGAGATTTTACGTCTTCCTAAGCTTCTTCTACCTTAATTTTACCCTGCATTATATTCCTTAGTAGTTCGTATTTTTCACCTCTCATGATGTGCCCCAAGTATTCCAATCTTCTTTCATCCATGCTCCAAGGTATTTTTACGAAGATATTTGTTCAATTTCTGTATTATCTAGTACTAGCTTAACTTTGATGTTTTGTGCTTTTGTAAATACCATGACCTTGGTTTTCTTCAAATTTATTTTTAGTCCATAATCGTTGCAATATATATTTAGTTGTTCAGCAAGGTGTTGCAGTTCTTCTAGTGTTCCTGCCAGAAGGACGGTGTCGTCAGCATATCTTATGTTATTTAGTGGCTCACCGTTTATTATAAGGCCCTCACTGATCCCGGCAAGCGCTAATTCTGACATGGCTTCACTGTATAAATTGAATAACAAGGGTGAAAAAATACACCCTTGGCGGACCCCACGTCGAATCTGGATATCCTCGGTCAGTTCATTTTCAACTTTCACTTTTGCTGTTTCTAATGTCTCTACTGTCTATGTTTTTATTTAATAAAATTTGTTTAAGCCTTCACTGCACTCTGTCAAATGCCTTCTCAAAATAAATGAAACAGGCATATCCTCCTCCTTCTCAATCCTAATCCCTTTTGGGATGTGGTGACACCATCAGGCCTGCACAGTTTTTTTAGGACTTCCCTCCATCCTTCTCTGTCCTGGGCTAGTTGTTCGGCTTCATGTAACCCTTGGTTAATCAATGTTTTTGTTTCATCTACCCAACGGCATGGAGATCTTTCCCTAGGTCTTTTTCCTTCAACTCTATCCTCGACTATCAGTTTTTCCATCGTGCTTGTTCTTCCAGCAATGTGTCCAAAACAGGCATATACTTCCTGATTAATATCTAAGCATCTCTGCGAAAGAAAACTTAATGCAAACAGTGCATCTCGTGTTTCCAGTCCTTTCCTAAATCCCATTTGTGTATTACTTATGCCTTTATCTAATTTCTTATGTATTCTATATATTGTGAATTACTTTTAAAAACAATTTTAATACATGACTTATTAAGGCTATGGTGCAATCTTCATTGCACTCCTTTGCATTGGCTTTTTGGGGAAGCAGTATGAATGTTGATTGAAGCCAATCTTTAGGTATTATGCCTGTTCTGTATGTGCTATTGAATAGATCCCAAAGAAGATCAATATATTCAGTATTCACAATTTTAAGTAATTCGATAGGAACTTCATCAGGTCCGGGATATTTACCACCTTTAGCTTGTTTCATTGCATAATCAATTTCTTCTCGTATAACAGCAGGCCCAGTATCATCCTTAAATTCTTTTGGTGCTTCTCTTCTCTCTTTGTCTTCAAAAAGTTGTCCTATATATTGTCTCCATCTCTGAATTTTTGGTTTACATCTGTTATAAGTGTACCACTTTCATCTCTTAGTTGCTTAGTTTGAATTATTTCTCTCAATATTGGTAATTCCATAATTCTTTTATTTATGTTAAAAAAGTCATATTTTTTCTCAATTTCTTCTAGTTCTTGGCACTGCTCATGTAACATTCTCTCCTTAGCTTCTTTTATTCTCTTTTTAATTAATCAATCAGTTTCGTTATATATAATTGGATTTTTTGTTTTAAATGATTTTCTTTCATTCATTAATAGTAGTATTTCTTCAGTCACCTAGTCTTTATGTTTTCTATTCTTTGGTTTTAAGTTTTCATTAGCTGTTTTATTTATTGCACTTTTATATTTTCCCATTTCTGATGAATGTTATAGTTACTTTTATTCAGTTCTTGGGCATTACGTAGATTTTCAGTAAGAGTTTTTACAGTTTGTTCCTTATCAATTCTACTTTGTGTGGGTTTTTTAACAGTTTCAATTTGGTTCGTAATCTGACTACTATGGGGTTATGGTCTGAATCGATGTCTGCTCCAGGGTAAGTTTTGACAGACAGTATAGAATTACGAAATCTTTGTCTAATGAGGACAAAGTCAATTTGATTTCGGATTATTCTATTAGTTGTATCACCGGGAGATTTCCATAGCTTAAAAAGTGTATTAGCTATTACAAATTCTTCCGTGTGGCAAAATTGTATCATACGGTCACCACGTTCATTTCTAGTTCCCAGGCCATATTCCCCCACATATCCATCCACTCTTTCCTGGCCAACTTTGGCATTGAAGTCGCCCATCACTATTGTAGTGTGATGTTTCTTCATTGATTTTAAGACTTGTTCCAAATCATGGTAAAATAGTTCGATATCGTCGTCATCTTTATCTGTCGTAGGAGCATAAACTTGAATAAAATTTACTATACCTTTTTTAGAGTGAAGTTGTATTGATAAGATCCTATCAGAATAAGGAGTAAAAGTTCTCACAGAGTAATTGACCTTTTTTGCAACTAAGATAGCAACACCATAGCGATGATTGACCTCGTTGTTACGTGAATAATACATGGTTTCATTATTTGTAATTTGTTTGCCTGAACCTGGCCACCTGGTCACTGTGTACGTCACTTATACCTAAAACATCAATTTGGAGGTTTTCCATTTCAAGCAGTACGTTCGCTAATTTACCACTTGCGAATAAACTTCTGACATTCCAGGTTGCTATTTTCAATGTCTTAAGTCCACAGAGATTTCTCTGGTTTATGAGCAATCTTTTAATTAGCAATCTGAAAATATTTAGGTACAACATTAAACGATTCTCTGAAAATCTATAATCTACAATGATGTCCTCAGTAGAGGAAGCCTCAAGTGATATACAAAATAATGATATATCTTCACAACGGCAATTGTAATGACTAAAATTCATTAGATTTATAATTAAAGTTCTATATTTAGCAAGAACGAGACTATATTAAAAAATAAATTGTTTTTTGTTTTCGAGAAATCTTATCTTTTGTGCTGTAGGCCATATAGTTATCAAAAAATCTAAAGTTGAATTTTTTCAACAATACTCCTTAAAAATATATAAATTATTCACAATTTGTTAAGGCCAGGAGTGACGCCAGAACTCGGCTACGTAATTTTGATACGTAGCTTACAGGTCGAGCTTACTTTTCTCCTGCTAAAATATTTTCGATAATTTAACTACGCATCAAGTGGCGTGCCGATTGTTGAATTTTTACAGTCATTTCTAGTTTTGGCAAAGTGTATATTTATGGGTACTTCTCTTTTATTAAATTAAACATGAATTATACCTTTATATTGTTGCAGCAACCCAAATGTTCCACGGAGAAATTTATTTATTAATTTAAGTCCTGCATATTGGACCCAGTTTGATGTTGACTGGCCAGAATTTGATAATAAAAACGAAAGATATTTGGAACTAGGTAAGTTTTATTTTATTAACATGTATAATTTAAACTATGTAAGTAAATGTAGAGAAATTTTATATCAAAAATTAATTGACTGTTTCCTATTCCACTGCGACCTTTTCAGATCTATTGTGGTCCTCTAGTCCTAGATAACATTCTCTAGCCTGACTCTTTTTATAAACTCTAGTAGCTTCGAGACTGTACCTTTCAAGTAGCAATTTTCCGGTGAATTTTCTTCTCCTAATGCAAAGAACCGCACATTTGCCAGACTGTCACACTGACATAAAATGTGCTCTGCTGTTTCTTCTCCGAGGTGACAGAATCTCCACAGGTCATTATCTGATAATCCCATCAGCTTCAAGTGCCTATTCAGCTTACAGTGCCCTGATAGAAGACCTACTATGGCTTTGACTGTTTTCCTGTCTTTGCTTATTAGGTCTGCCGTAAATTTTGGCAAATGTTCAGTAATGAACTGTTTCGCCTGTCTTTGTCCTGGTGAATTCCTCCACCATTCCAGAGATTTGTGAGCTAACCACTTCCTTATAGCCGTTCTTGTTACTGACTTTGCAACACCGCAGAAGGGTTCCAGTCCAATGAATGGCATTGATGAGCCTTGTTTGGCCATTTCAGCTGCTTTTTCATTGCTCCTATGACCCTCGTGTCCCAGTACCCAGGCTACCGTAACCTTGCTACGGTCTCCTAGTTTATTTAGGGCACCCACGCAATCCCATACTAGCTTAGAATTGACCTCTATAGAATTGAGTGCCTTAAGCACTGCCTGACTATCTATGAAGATGCAACTGAACAGAACGGTCTTTTCTGCCTTTCTATTTCTTCCACGCGGTGATGGATTGCCGTTATTTCCGCCTGCAAAACTGTCACATCCTTAGATAGACTTACCGGGAAATGTATCCCTTGATTTGTCCCTACTGTGCCGGCTCCCACACCCTCCGATGTTTTTGAGCCATCCGTGTACCAGGTAGCAGCGGCTTGTATGGGTACACCTTTATTCCAGTCTTCCCTGCCTGTTATCTTAATTGTGAACTTGTTGTTGAAGCTATATCTCGTAGCTGTTGCATCGATAAGTTTCCCCATCACAATATCGGCTTTCTTAATCGGCTTCTCGATTAGCTTTCTGTTGTCAGTACCATGCATCTAGCTTATATGTCGCTGACTATGGATTAATCTGTACGTCACTGATCTGGCTTCGCCTTGTATAAAGATATGAAGTGGTGGTAGATTCAGCAGGACTTCCAACGATGCAGTAGGAGTTGTTTTTATGGTCCCCGTAATACACAGGCATAGTAGTCTTTGTGTATTACCTAGCAGCCTTATTGCTCCCACTTGCTGTATTGCTCTTTGTCCACCACGTCACCGAGCCATACGTTATCATGGGTCTAATAACCCTTGTGTATAACCATAGAGTCATTTTGGGGTTAAGTCTCAAATTCTTACCGCACATTCTTCTACATCTGCCCAGGGACATAGTAGCTTTCTGTGTGGTTTTCAGAATGTGAGTATTCCATGTAAGCCTATGATGAAAATGTACCTCAAGGTATTTTGTTTCTTTGTCAAATGAAATCTCTATTCTTCCCAGTATCGGTGGTTTTAGGCCTTGTAATGTTGATTTAGTTTTGTTGAAGTTGACGATTTGTTGTTTCTGGGCATTTACTATCAGTCTCTCTTGTTTACACCAGTCGTCAACTATATTTAGGGCTGCTTGCATTCTCTCAGACACCACCTGAGCAAACCTGCCCTAGATAATAAAAGCCTTCTGTGGACAGATTTCTCAGAAGATCATTTACCAAGATTGCCCAAAGTAAAGGGGATAGAACTCCTCCTTGTGGACAGCCTCCACCTACTTTTACTTTGATGGTGATGCTTTACCCAGAGGGGACCTTGCTGTCCTATTTTCCAAGAATATTACCGCAGGTGCGCCTCGTCTAGTTATAACTCCTATCAAACAGCTGCTAGTAACATTATTAAATGCCCCTTCTATATCTAAAAAAGCGGCCACTGCTATATCTTTGTCTTCCATTATTTTTTACTGTTTATTAACTGCAGTTTATATTCAACAAGAGTTTCACGAATCATGATCATCCTGAAACCAAATTAATAGAAACCACGGCGACTTTTAAAATTTTTCTATAACATTCTGTCAAGTTGTAAATATAGAATGTCTTTACATTTTGCCTTTGAACATATGTTTAGAAGAAGAAGACGCGTTTCCTGGATCTTCGTCGCGGAGATGGCACTTAAAGAAGATACTTTCTGAGTACACTAATTTTTACACTCTTAACTATTTACTATAATTTAAATTCAAGAGATTTACGCAAAAGTTTTCCTCTACTGCTAAAACATTCTGCGTGTTCTGATTCCAAGTCGTCATATTCCTCTGCCTTATCAAATCTTCTTTTTCTTCAAGTTCCACTCCTATCGGAGATTGGAAATTATTCTGGCAATTATAATTTTATTGGTTACTCGCCTGAATAGTTCAATTGAACTGCATCCAAACCACTCACGGAGATTGCGTAGCCACGAGATTTTACGTCTTCCTACGCTTCTTCTACCTTTGATTTTACCCTGCATTATATTCCTTAGTAGTTCGTACTTTTCACCTCTCATGATGTGCCCCAAGTATTCCAATTTCCTGATCTTTATGGAATTTAAAACTTCGCATTGTTTTCCTAGTTGTTCGAGAACTTGTTCGTTTGTTTTGCGATCCATCCATGATATTTTCAAAATGCGTCGGTAACACCACATTTCGAATGCTTCTAGGTTTTTAATGTTGGATTTTTTAAGTGTCCAAGCTTCAACTGCATACAAAAGGGTAGAGAAAATATAACATCGAAGCATTCTTATCCGGAGCGATATATTGATATCGCGATTACAAAAAAGTTTTCTCATTCTATTAAAAGTTGAACGCGCAATTTCAATGCGGCATCTTATTTCTTTTGTCTGATCAGTATCTTCTGTGATCCATGCTCCAAGGTATTTGTACGAGGATATTTGTTCAATTTCTGTATTATCTAGTACTAGCTTAACTTTGATGTTTTGTGCTTTTGTAAATACCATGAACTTGGTTTTCTTCAAATTGATTTTTAGTCCATAATCGTTGCAATATATATTTAGTTGTTCAGCAAGGTGTTGCAGTTCTTCTAGTGTTCCTGCCAAAAGGACGGTGTTGTCAGCATATCTTATGTTATTAAGTGGCTCACCGTTTATTATAAGGCCCTCACTGATCTCGGCAAGCGCTAATTCTGAGATCGCTTCACTGTATAAATTGAATAACAAGGGTGATAAAATACACCCTTGGCGGACCCCACGGCGAATCTGGATATCCTTGGTCAGTTCGTTTTCAACTTTCACTTTTGCTGTTTGATTCCAATAGAGGTTACAGATGATTCTAATGTCTCTACTGTCTATGTTTTTATTTAATAAAATTTCTTTAAGTCGATTATGCTGCACTCTGTCAAATGCCTTCTCAAAATCAATGAAACAGGCATATCCTTCCTGATTAATATCTAAGCATCTCTGCGAAAGAACACTTACTGCAAACAGTGCATCTCGTGTTCCCAGACCTTTCCTAAATCCCATTTGTGTATTACTTATGCCTTCATCTAATTTCTTATGTATTCTATTGTGAATTACTTTTAAAAACAATTTCAAGACATGACTCATTAAGGCTATGGTGCGATGTTCATTGCACTCCTTTGCATTGGCTTTTTTGGGAAGCAGTATGAATGTTGATTGGAGCCATTCTTTAGGTATTATACCTGTTCTATATATGGTATTGAATAGATCCAAAAGAAGATCAATAGATTCAGTATTCACAATTTTAAGTAATTCGATAGGAACTTCATCAGGCCCGGGAGATTTACCATCTTTAGCTTGTTTCATTGCATATTCAATTTCTTCTCGTATAATGTCAGGCCCAGTATTATCCTTAAATTCTTTTGGTGCTTCTGTTCTTTCTTTGTCTTCAAATAGTTGTGCTATATATTGTGTCCATCTCTGCATTTTTTGGTTTATATCTGTTATAAGTGCACCCCTTTCATCTCTTAGTTGCCTAGTTTGAAGTGTTTTTCTCATTCCTGTTAATTATCTAATTAAAAAAAAAAAGAGGTTAATCTTTGTAAATGGGTATATTTATTTACCTAAATAAATATACCCATTTACAAAGATTAACCTCTTTTTGTTATACGCGGTATACAGCCAGCTACAGGAATTTTTCCTTGTGGATTTTAATTATCTAATTCTTTTATGCATGTTAAAAAAGTCATATTTTTTCTCAATTTCTTCTAGTTCTTGGCACTGCTCATGTAACATTCTCTCCTTAGCTTCTTTTATTCTCTTTTTTATTAATCGATCAGTTTCATTATATTTAATTGGATTTTTTGTTTTGAATGATTTTCTTTCATTCATTAATAGTAGTATTTCTTCAGTCATCCAATCTTCATGTTTTCTATTCTTTGGTTTTAAGTTTTCATTTGCTGTTTTAATTATTGCTGCTTTTATATTTTCCCATTTCTGATCAATGTTATAGCTACTTTTATTCAGTTCTTGGGCATTACGTATATTTTCAGTAAGAGTTTTTACAGTTTGTTCCTTTGTTTGTGGTTCCCTTAATCTCTTAATATCAATTCTACTTTGTGTGGGTTTTTTAACCAGTTTTAATTTGGTTCGTAATGTGACTACTATGGGGTTATGGTCTGAACCGATGTCTGCTCCAGGGTAAGTTTTGGCAGACAGTATAGAATTACGAAATCTTTGTCTAATAAGGACAAAGTCAATTTGATTTCGGATTATTCTATTCGTTGTATCACCGGGAGATTTCCATGTATACAACCTTCTTTTTGGTAGCTTAAAAAGTGTATTAGCTATTACAAATTCTTCCGTCTGGCAAAATTGTATCCAACGGTCACCACGTTCATTTCTATTTCCTAGACCATATTCCCCCACATATCCATCCACTCTTCCCTGGCCAACTTTGGCATTGAAGTCGCCCATTACTATTGTAGTGTGATGTTTTTTCTTTGATTTTAAGACTTGTTCCAAATCATGGTAAAACAGTTCGATATCGTCGTCATCTTTATCTGCCGTAGGAGCATAAACTTGAATAAAATTTACTATACCTTTTTTAGACTGTAGTTGTATTGATAAGATTCTATCAGAATAAGGAGTAAAACTTATCACAGAGTAATTGACCTTTTTTGCAACTAAGATAGCAACACCGTAACGATGATTGACCTCGTTGTTACCTGAATAATACATGGTTTCATTATTTGTAATTTGTTTGCCTGAACCTGGCCACTGTACGTCACTTATACCTAAAACATCAATTTGGAGGTTTTCCATTTCAAGCAGTACGTTCGCTAGTTTACCACTTGCATATAAACTTCTGACATTCCAGGTTGCTATTTTCAATGTCTTAAGTCCACAGGGATTTCTCTGGTTTACGACCTAGGAGGCCCTGTGATCTACAGTTATTCCTCCCCTGCCGGATCTTGGATTCCGTGCTCCATAGTCAGTAAGTTTGTTTACTCTACTTGTCATTTGCCATTCATGACTTTACTAGGGGTACTCTAAGAGTCTTTAATGCAGTGGTTCCCCGTTGCCTTCTGCATCCTTACGCCGTTGACCTATTTTTCGATTCATCCGCCTTTAGGACCAGTTTCCCAACCCTTGAACAAAAGAGTGCCCTTCCACTTATTAACTCATCCGCCCGCAGCCGTTGGTCATAAGTGGGGGATTGCTTATACCGGTAATCATTCGGTGAATTACCTGTTGGTCCACGGGAGGTATTTTATTTCCCTCCTATCCACCGGTAAACCGGGTCGGGCATTCCCCTATCCGCCACCTGGGGACGCGCTCTCTAGAGGTTACAGGTTCCTCCTTATCAAATATTAGCCTCTAAATGTTACTGTATTTTCTCCCTATATAATTCTTTATCCGGTTTTCGTTTCGGGCTTAATTTTTACTTCGGGCAGTTTTATTGGGATATATTCAAATGTTATATTTTTATGTAAATATAGATACTTATACAAATCTACTTTTTTAGAAATTCCACCTCAACCCCTTACGTCTTATAGAAAAGAGGAAATGAAATACTGGAACGAAATGTTTTCGAAAGTATTAGAAAACAATAGTTTCAACATGTTTTCGACGAAAAAGCCAGTTTTTGATAATTTTGGATCAGTTCCACCTCGACGACCAAACCATCCACCACCTTGGATATACGATCATTATCCGAAGAAACCCGCTGACGTTCCAAAAAATTTTGAAAAACCACAGTCGAAAGTACATACAGAGCAATATGGAAAAATAGTTAAAGAAGGAAACGACCGCCCAGATAATATTGTCGAAAATGTATTTGGAAAAATTCTGGAAAAACCCCCTCAAGAGTTGGAACAAAGCTCTGCTGTTAATGTCCTCACTATTACTGGAGTTGTATGTTTGTTCATCAGTGTAACAGTTTTTATTGTTTTGTACTTTATTTGTTACAGAAGAAGAAAACAAGTTCAAGTACAACAATCTAACTTGAAAAACACATCTAAAGACAATCAAGCATTCCTTATTGACGGATGTAATATAATGAAAATGATTAACACAAAAAAAAGTAATGAAACTTACGAAGGCGTGAGATCTGAATCGTCTCCAAATTATAAACTTACGAGGCAAATATCCAGTAGTACGATTGATGCACATACTAAAGTAAGAGAATGGATCACACATGAGATTATTCAAAAGTACAGCCCCCATATATTTAGGCGAACCTGTTCCAGTAACGAAACTAAAGATCAGAAAGGCTTTCCAAAGAAACATGTATATATGGATGTAGAAGAAAATATGCTAGGTGATGTACCATTTGAAACATATATTAAGACATCTACGATAAGACGACCTAAACCACCCAAAATATCCGTTGAAGTGGATGCTACTCCTTCAGGTCGAGGTCCAAGTATTTTGTTGCAAGAACCAATTGAAATGACAAAATCACTTGATAATAGAGTTAATAGATACGAACAAACAAAACCTTTGCGAAGATCTTTCACAATGGAAAATGTTCCATCTGAAGTAATTAACTGTGCAAAGGAAATTGACAAAAGTATTAGTACTACTGATTTAAACAATACAGTGAGACCTATTCATAAGCATACAGTGTCAGATCCTGTAGAAGATTTAGAATATTTAACGAAGACGACTTTAAAAACGTTTGATTACACTGCAGATGTAAACGTTACGTCAAGGGATGAAAATGATATGTTTACCACTCAGCTGTCCCCTGAACAATCACTTAATTTAATAAAGAGAAGAAATTTTCCCAAAGTTTTACCTGATTATCCAGATAAGGCAGCTTTAATAAATAAAAGACGGTCTATGCCAATAGCTCGTTCCATGAACACAGATTCTTCATTTAGATATCCTCCTATGCCCCCACCGAGAACTACAACTCTTACTAAACAAGCTACTCAAGTATATCCCGTTTATATATCTGAACCTACTTTGGCGGAGGAACCATATGATCAGTTAGAAACAGTTTGCAATAATTTATATGTTGGTCCAATCTTACCTAAAAATAAGACTGAAAATAAACCTAGTGTAACTAAACATGAAAATAAAATCGATACTTACGATCAACCTAAAGAACCAATTGTAGAGGCGGAACCTAGAAGAGCTGTGGGTCCCAGTCCAAAAATTGGAAGAGCAGACCCTAAAGTAATCATAAAACCTTCTTTACCAAAAAAAGTTGGTAATGAAAAACCTAAAAATATTACAAGAGTTGTGGTACCTGATAATCAACCGTTTTCGCAACAAAATACATCAGATAGATTAAAGGAAGTTAATTCTGACAATAAAGAAAAAACAAATTTTGGAAAATTTGTTCACGTAGAAACACAGTGCGAACAAAGGTCACAAGACTCGCAAAAAACAACATCATCCATTCGTCCAAATCAAGGATCGTTAAGTTCAGATTCCACTCCGTCAGAAGAATCTGATACAGGTACTGTAGTTAAGAAAATCTGAAATTTGTATACGCATTTTTTATTTATTACTTTCGTATAAATCTAAATTTAGTTGTAATTTTTATATTTAAGGTAAACACTTAATTAAATTAATATTAAAATACTTCTAGGTTTTATTAAGATATTTTCCCTGCTACACAGACAACCTATCCTACCTAAAAACCTAAAATGTGGTTATGAAAAATCTAAAATTATAATAATTGTGATACGTTTTAACCAACAATTTGTATAGCAAAATGCATCAGAACGATATATGAAACTTAATTCGGAAAATACTGTCATCGCCAGCTAACTTGGCGGTGCGCACAAACCCAAAATTGCTTAGTGGCTAGGTGGTGGTCTTTAGTCTCCTCCCAGTTATCAGGTGCGTACCTAACACTTAAGTGATTTGCGAAAAATAGTAGAAAAAATAATTCTGTTATTAGTGGAGAATCTCGGGAGATTATATTTAATGTGTTTAATTATTTCAAAAGCGACATTCGCAGAATAATTTACGATTTTTATAAAACAGAAAAATGTCGGGTTACGGTAAAAAAATTAAAACAAAAAATTCACAACGATTTGGATATCACAATTTCACAAACATCTTTAAGGCGACTTCTACGCAAAATGCAATTTCGTTGGAGGAAAACCGAAAACAACTGAAAAGTGCTTGTAGAAAAAAGTGCAATAAGAGCTTTGATAATAAAATATCTTAGGCAAATCAAATATTTTCGGAGTCAAAATAGGCCAATCGTGTATGTTGACGAGACCTACTTACACAGCGGTCATACTTCTTCAAAGAACTGGACTGACGAATCAACCAAGGGCTTATTTTCAAATATTTCCAAAAGTCACTAATAATAGTCAACGACTAATAATAGTGCATGCCGGTAGGGATATGGGATTCATAAAAAATGGCTTATTAATCTTTAAATCAGGTTCAAAATCAGGGGATTACCACTCTGAAATGAATTCAGACAACTATGGAAAGTGGTTACAAAAACATTTATTACCTAATTTACCTGCTATTATCGGTATTAGTTTTTGATAACGCACCTTATCACAGCATTCAGTTGGAGCGGGCGCCTACATCAAACTCAAACAAAAATCAAATGATAGAATGGTTAATGCAGAAAAATATTTCATTTACACCTAGTGCTTTAAAACCTGAACTGTATGAAATAATTAAATATCATAAACCTCATCATGTAAAATACAAATTCGACGAAATTCTACGTGCGCATGGCCATATTCCTTTACGTTTACCTCCTTACCATCCTGACCTAAACCCTATTGAACTAATATGGGCTACAGTCAAAAATAATATGAGGCAGAAAAACGTTACATTTAAGCTAGCTGACGTACAAAAACTCGCCGAGGAAGAATTCACTAATATTGATGCAAATGAGTGGAGAAAACGATGTTACCATGTCATTAAGAAGGAAGATGAGTATATGGACAGCGAAATAGTTGCTGATAACGCCACGCAAATAGCTCCAATTATTATAAATCTTGACAGTGACTCTTCCAGTACAGAGTTTTCTTCTTCCGAAGATGAAAATGAAGAAAATTATTAACAATCCATTTATTTTCAAATAGATACCACTTTTCAACACGGGTACTTGTTTTAGTATTATAATAAAACCAAAATATTAAAATTGAATAATTACTGTGTTGCATTTATTTATACAATATCCTCCATTTAATTTGAAACACAATATCAACGTAGATTTGTGAATTAAATTCAGCCATTATTGTATAATTTGTTTACTAAGTTAAATAAATATTATAAACCAATGGCTTACTATTTAAATTAAATAAATCAAAATTACAATTTCATCTTTCTAATAATATATTAAAGCTTGCGAAAAATATTACTTTTTTAATAAAATTGTGTAATAATTATTTAACCTATACCGCTACGCTACTGAATATACTTATCAGAAATAGTAAACCAATAGGAAGAATCATAGGGCGTAATAGTATATTACATAACGAGAGTTGTAAGAAGCTTATTACATGCGAGTAAAAAAGTTGCGCGCGAGCCGCGTAGCGGCGAGCGCAGTAATTTTACAAGCATGTAATAAGCTTACAACTCAAGTTGTGTACTATAGTTTTTCTACAAATATTTTCGTTTTTAAAAATAAAAATTAAATTATCACTATGTTTACACTGACAGATTAATAATTTTTAATCTGTCAAAATAACGTATGTTAATTCGTTTCCATGGTAACTCGACCAACTGACTTACGAGGCCTATGTGATATTACACATTTTTATAAAACTGAAGCGTAATTTTTTTTATTACGTGCTAGTCATTACGTGTCAGTATATGTTATGATGCATTTACTTAGCATCCAAATAGTAGGTAATATACAATTTACTAGTAAGAGAGTAGAAAAACATAATTTATTTCTCTGTGACGTTCTGCGTACTCTCTCGCCAAGTTAGCTGGCGATGATTGTAAAAAGAATGAAAATTTGGAAAAATGTATTTTTATAGAAAGAACCTTTTAGGTCCGCTTGCCATTATGCTAATTTTGAGTACTGATTTCAGTGCTAAAACTTTTGACTCCACATATTTAAAAACAAAACATAAACATACGTAACATAACCTCTGTTTTAGTTAATATTGGATCATTTTTAGTACAAGAAATTAGAACATATTCTAATTTTTAGTACTGAATCGGCGCGCGCACCTAATTTGTAGATACAATATTTTTAGTGCTAAATTCAGTACTGAATTTAGCATAATGGCAAGCGGACCTAAAAATAAGACTAACGAAATGCGCTATATATCCCTAGTTTATTTTATAAGGTGTGTTGGCTAATTCATCGGTAATTTCGTTTTCCTTAACTCTACCCTAACTCCTTAACCCTAACTTAATAGTAACTGAATTTTCCTTGCATAATTTGTTGAATTTTTCTGCGTTCCACTCGATAGAATTCTTATTTGGTTTAGAAGTATTTCCATTTCTCCTTCACAATGCTATAATTCTTTGGTCTGTCGTCTTCGTGCATCCCCCAATACTGTCTTTTGTCATTGCAGATAAAAAATATTATTGACGGCGTCCCTTTAAAACATCTACTAGTAGACGGTCAATCCTTCTAACACCGGACTAAAACATGTGCAACAACACAAAGCCACAACGGTTCTTCTTAGAACCAACACTGACAGTAGTGAATATGACTGACTGTAGTGGGCAAGGGTCCTTACCCAACATGCGTTAGTTTGTATAATAAATTACCTAATTATGTTAAAGAGTTAAATAGTTATGTATTTAAAAGAACAGTTAAGAAATTACTTCTGGCAAACACTTTCTATTCGTTAGAGGAATACTTGCAGGCATCTTTTTAACAATTTGTATGTTTTTGTGTATATTTTATGTTTTATGATTGTGCTTATAGTTTTTACTTTTTTTTTGCTACCTATGTACCTATAGTTTTTTAGATTGTATTTTGACGCATTTCAATACTTGTAAAAGTCAGATGAAATAAAGAATATTGATTGATTGATTGATTGATATAAACATTGAGAGTATCAGCACAGCTAAAGATGATGTCTTGTCAGCATTATGTAGGACTTCAAAGTGTAATATATTGTGCATCAAAGAAACTCATAGACTTCACTATTAGAAGACCGAACATCTTATGATATAAAATTATTTGGGGAAATAACACACAAGCTTGGAATCATAAGCTATGTTCGCGAAAACAGAAACCATCACCTCATATGTAATATACCAGAATACCATATACCAATCAACCAGATTGTTTTGGTTATGGCGTTAAACATAATAGGGCGCAAATGACGCTGTAGAGGCTTGGGCCGAAATTAGTGGTTTTTCATTAATTCGTAGCAACAGAATCACTTCGATAGAAGAAAATAACAAACACTTACATATCAAAAAAGAAAACCCTATGGTTTAGAGAGGAAGTGAAGACAAAATGTGAAGAAAAGAAAAAAGCCTTACAATACAGATCACAACAAACACAACAGGCATACGACCACTATAAACGAATCAGAAATGAAACGAATACTTTATTTAGACAAATAAAAAGGGAACACTGACAGAGCTTCTCAAAACAAATGGAACACGACTTCTTGGGAACACAGAAAAAAATATGGAGAATGATCAGAGGACACAGAAAAGGGATGAACGAACTAATAAAAATGAAACACATTCAGAAAGAAATATGGACAGACTACTTTCGATCCGTATTTGCTAAAGGTGGCGATAATAAACCACCAACACGAGAAGTGACAACAAACGAAGAAATAAATATTGAGGAGGAGGTAAAGGATATATCATCTTATAAGAGAAGTCTGGGAAAGAGAGAGAAATACCTAAATACACTGGCATGAAAGCCATATAGTACCTATCCGCAATAAGGGAGACAAACAAATATGTCAAAACTATAGAGGAATATTATTAATCAATACAACGTACAAAATTATATCCATAATACTGTCTAGAAGACTAACTCCATAGGAAATAATAGGCGACTACCAAAGCGGATTCAGACCGGGAAGGTCGACTATAGACCAGATATTCGTCCTACGCCAGGTGCTGGAAAAAAAACTGGGAATTTAACCGCGATGTACACCAAATATTCGTGGACTTTAAACAAGCTTACGATTCTGTTAGCAGAGAAGCATTATTGGAGACCATGGTATAAATGGGAGTACCTGGAACGCTGGTACGATTAGCACAGGTGAGCACAGAGAACGCTTCCTTACGGATCGGAATTGGCAGTACCACGTCGAAGGAATTCCTCATTCACGCCGGGCTTAGACAAGGAGATCCTCTCGCCCCCCTGCTATTTAATTTTGCACTGGAACATGCGGTAAGGAAAGCTCAACCATAACTGACAAACGGATTTGCCGCATAAGGATCAAAAATACTATTGGCGTTTGCGCATGACGTGAACACAATTGCACAATCCACCAGAGATGCAAAAGAAGTTTTCACCCTATTCGAAAACGGAGCCAAGGAAGTTGATCTGAAGGTCAACGAGGACAAGACCAAGTACATGTTGGTTACGAAGAACCCAAGGCCAAGGGTTAGACAAAAAGTAACAATCAATGAATACAACTTTGAAGTCATCAAAGAATTCAAGTACCTGGGAGCGATCATAGCATCTGAAAATAAATATTAAGAGGACTCGGGTACCCTGGAACATTGCATGAAACAGGACATATGACTCATTAATGGTCGTACTTAAATCAAAAATACTCTCAAGACTAGCAAAAATAAGAGTCTATTAGAGAATAATTCATCCCACAATAACGTATGGAAGCGAGACATGGACTCTGAACCAGCGGGAAACGACAAAATTACTGGTACTGGAAAGAAAGATACTGCGGATTATCTATGGGCCTTGCAGAGAAGAGACAACAGGAGAATGGAGAAGAAGGCACAATGATGAACTCCAGACAGTATATGGAGATGAAAACATAGTACGCTACATTAAAGCAAACCGAATAAGATGGGCGGGCCACGTGCTAAGATCGAGTGACCAAAGACTCCTGAACCCCACATTCTGGGAAAGGCCTGATGGCAGAAGGTCAGTTGGTCGCCCAAGAAAGAGATGGAAGGAGGCAGTAGCCAATGATCTACGCAAAATGGCAATACATCAATGAAAAATAGCTGCTCAGGGCCGACAACAATGGAGGAAAATAGTAAACGCGGCCAAGACTTACATAGAGTTGTAGAGCCAAATTATGATGAGAAGGTAAAGGAAGTATTAAGATAATTAAAAAAAAGAAAAATTACCAGGAGAGGACAGAATACCGAACGTAATAATAGAAAACGGAGGACCAGATCTGGCCAAACAACTACTAAAACTAATCCAAAAAATAATAGAACAAAACTGAATTCCTTAAGAATAGAGATCAAGCCTCCTAATACCTGTCTTTAAAGACAGAAAAAAATCTCTTCTTCTTCGTTTTATATAGACATGATTCTGTTTTTCAATGTGTCTCTAGTAAGTTGTCTTTCCATCGTTTTCGTAGTCTTCTTAGTGATCGTATTCCTATTGGGGAATCGTCTCTTGCCGTCTTTACTACTCTATTTGTTGTCATTCGGCTTATATGATCGTTCCATTCTACTCTTCTATTTCTTACCCAGTTCTTGATGTTCTCCACCTTGCATCTACGTCGTATATCTGTACTTCTAGCTCTGTTTCATAGTGTCTTACCATCAATTTTTTTTAAGTATTTTTATCTATGCTGTTTCTAACATCCTTTTTGTCCTTTTTGGCGGTTATATTAAATTGGTGCAGCATACGTTGTAAATCATCTTCACTTTGAGAAAGTAGTATTGCGTCGTCTGTATATCAGATTATTTTAAGTTGTTTTTCTTCCATTTGGTATCCTTTTTTAGTTCTTACTTTTTTTATTCGGAATCCGGATCCGGAAAATTACAGAGGAATTAATATTAAACAAAACACTAAAATTAACAATCAAAGTGATAACAAATAAACTCAATGAAATTATAACACTAGCAGAAGAACAAGTTTTTAGATGGGGAAGATCATGCACCGACGACGCTATATTTACAATGAGGCAAGTGCAAGAGAAATAATTAGAATACAACAAACCGGCATATATATGTTTCGTATACCTTAAAACGGTATTTGACTGGGTCAAAAAAGGACATTATCCACTTATTGTATGCAAGGGAGATAACTTTAGAAATAATCAAAATTATCGAAAATATCTACCAAAATAACACAATAAAAGTAAAAGTAGAAGAAGAACTAACTGACCGTATTGAAGCTGACAATGGGATACGACAGGGAGATTCCCTGAGTACTTTATTGTTCAACTTAATCATGGATGAAATTATTTAAGAACTAAAAAAGGATACCAAATGAGAGAAAAGCAACTTAAAATAATCTGCTAATAATCTACTCTCAAAGATAAGATTATACGTCCATGAGAAAAACTCCTTTTAACGAAGAAATAGTTATAGAACAGTCATACTAAAATAACTGAATCAAGCCAGAGAGACAGAATGGATCGAAATATTAGAAATCATGGACATGAAACATAGTAGAAAAATAGTATGACACCTGGTTAAGAAACTTAGAGGCGACTCCAAGGGAAAAAATACCCTGCAAGATTGCACGCAAGATGTTAACCATTTGACTATGAAAGAGCTCCATGACGGCATGAATATGTTGAAAACAGGAAAGCTACAGTTAAGCACTGAACAGATCAAGCATATAGGCCAAAAAAAATTGGAATTATACAATAATGCAGGACGCAGTTGCGATGTTTTTAAATTTATGCATTGAAGTGTTTAATTTAAAAACAACTAATTAAGATTAACGAATACATTCGTACCTTAGTTGCAATTTAGCAGCATAAAAGAAGATATTATTAAAATAAAATAAAAATAAATTATTTATTAAATAAAATTTAATAAATAATTTATTTTATTAATAAAATATTATCTATTACTAATTACCGCCCTCATTTAAACAAGACATAAAAATCACTGTTATCTTCCCCTGCGCATTCCCAATGTTTTCACTGGGTACATTGTGAATCCTTTCGAGAATCTGTGGAATATGTTGACATAAATTCTTCTTCTGAAAATATATCTCTATTAAAAGGATACATTCTAGTCACCATAAAGCCGGCTATATTTTTAAGATAAATAGCTAGAGGCAATGCAGTTGCAACAATAGCAATTGTAAAACAATAAGTTATATTAATCTTCGCCGAGTTTTCGTTTTCATAAACTTATTTGAATCTTATATGACAGACGGTACTTAGTTTCTACAAAAATATTCGTCGTAAAGTTTCCAAATGCGTTTGGGTCTTTTATAATAACATCTCCAGGTAAAATCGTGCCCAAAATCTGTAAGACCAATATTGAAAATTGCAGAGGATGTTGTCTCAAGTAACTAGCTGAAGTGTGCGGTACGCATTTTCTGCGAAATGCAGTGAACAGTGTATCAGTTTCGCTATTTCGTGCGATATTCAAACTTCGGCATATAAATGAACAATTTTGTTACTCTATTATTCGTAATAGTTGTGTAAAATATTCCCTTGTTATTAAATGCATAAGATAGATCGATTACTCTTTATTCCTCAAGTACAATTGATAAAACCAAACACACATACTGACTCATCGTCTTGAGGTCTTCTTACTTATATCGAAGGAATATCTTTGTTCTATGATTCTAAAAAGAAAGGAATTCAATAAACTTTTCCCATACAATTAGTGGAGATTACGGCAAAATTCCAACACCAGGGATCTCATAAATTGACATGGTTGTGCCAGAATGATTTGTAATCAAGGAATCAGACTGAATTGACATATTTTTTAAAAGATAGCTCTTGCCAAGTACCACTGGTATTCGTATTCGTATCGATAATGATCTGTGAACCTGTAAATAAAATCTGTAGGTTCTATTGTGTCCCCTTTTTGTGCCTTTTCTGATGACTTCTCATTAGAGTATAGCAGCACGCGCAGTGCTATTCATTCAAAGAAGTTTAGTATATCTAGCGGCTTTATATAGGGTAAATCCTATTCTTTTATCCCATGTATTTAAGATAACAGGCTCATAAAGTTAAATATGTATAGAAATTTGTTCTAAGCCATTATATATTATCCCATAGAATGTATAAATAAAATTGAGAGTAAATAAAAAAAAGTATTAAATAGAAACATTTATTTATTTAAATATAAAATATTGTTAATCACTTTCTTCCCTTCGATCTCATTTTAATCCTTTTACTTTTGCCCATTCTTTGGTTCCCTCCTTTGCTTACTTTACCACCTTTTACCCCTTTTCCAATATTGTTAAATTTTTTTCCAGGTTTACCAGGATTTTTAAATTCAGTTATATCTGCAGCACTATCTCTTGTGTTCCTTTTCATTCCCTTTTTCTTGCCACCGAAACCGAACTTTTTATCTTTCATTTTCCGTTTTTCTGCCATTTTTTTGGCAGCAGATTTATTTTTTCCGTCAAGGAAATCAAGATCTTTTGACATTCCCTTCCTTACTTTTTTAACCTGGGCAAGCATATCTTTCTTTTCTTGTTGTCTTTGAAGTTTTGTCTGAACTTGTAACATTTTACCTTCTTTTCTTTGCTGTCTAAGTTGTTTGACTCGTTCACTTCTCTTCTGTTGCTCCTGCTTCGTCATAAGATGTTCCCTAATCTTCTGCATATGGGCATCTGTTTTCGCCATTTCAGCAAAGTAATCGTCGGGCCTAAAACAAAGACTTTATTAATATTATGATTTATTATAGAATACTTCTGGTGCTCATTTTATTTTTGAGATAGAAACATTATTCGTTTTGTGTCACTTACGTAAAAATGAAACTATCAATAACTGCCCTGTCATTTTCTGTAATAGAAGACAGGTACAGAAACAGGCATGTCCAAAAGATAACATTGATCCCTTTTTAAATATTTGTGTACTCAGGGATGGGAAGAAGCAAAGCAAAATAGCAATTGGTAATAGGTTATTCTTTCCACTAAATAAAATATTCAAAAGTCAGCTGCTGAGTAGAACCTCAAAAGTCCATCAATAGGTTACAAAGTAAGACCATGTAGTCCATGGGAAAGAAAATTGGATTTTTTTTCTGGAAGCAATCTGTTATAAGAAGGTCGTATTGAAGCCAATTGGCTTATTTTACATCTTCAATTTCTTCTTAATACATATTCCAGAATTCTGGAAATCTGTACCTACTTGTACAGGTCTAGTGGACGGGTCCAATATATTTTTGGACACATAATAATTTCCAAAAAACGTTGTCTCATCTAGCAAAAATATTAAACACAAATTTCATTTTAGGCTATATTCTAAAAAGACGGAGATAGGTTACTACCTGCTTTATTCCAACAGTAGCAAAGACCCATCAGAAGAACCAAAGTCGTATAGACCTATATGTCTAAGCCCCTTTCTTCTAAAAAATATGGAAAGAATACTAAACCCTTATATAAGCAGTGAATACTTGTTAAGTATTCACTAAGAACAATCTGTCTATCAACCAGACAAATCAGCAATAGATACCTTGTATTGTCTAGTCAGGCCATGGGGATGGTGTGTACTAGTTTCTATATATGAGATGATGTGCACTCTCTTCTTCTTGCTATAGCATGCTGGACGAGCTATACTGCCTGTAGTCAGAACCCCGATGTATGAGCGGGAACACAAGGTGTACTAATACTCATACTCTCATGAAGCACATCTGGCGCTGCATGAGAACCTTCACATTTTACTCTTCTTCAACTAGTCTTTGAGTAAAGTGTCTTTTATCTTTCCTATCAGCCTCTCTTGGCCAACTCTTGTTTTTCTGACCCCGATTGGCTATTAGGTTTCCGAGGGCGGACGGGTCACTATTTTCTTTCCTTACTCTAAACTATTTTCTACCACGCAGAAGGAAGTGGGGCCCCACTGCGTTACTTTGCCCCAAGAACTATCATGAAGATGACCTCTAAACATATCAGTATGCCGAGCGATCCAACTAGCAATTGGCGCCAATCAGCGTCCGGGGCTGATGGTGTGAAATGGGCTACCGGCCATGATGTTGTGAGAAACCAGGCACGCCATGGAAACTCTGAGTCTGGAATAAACATAAAAATATGGAGCACCCTTAAAATCGGTACGTGGAATGTTCGAGGATTGCTGGAACCCGGAAAATTGGATGTAGTGGAAAACGAGATCCACAATTATGCCATTGTAGGTCTATCTGAAACCCACTGGAAAAATAAAGGACATTTTACGTCAAAAAATGGCAATGATATTTATTTCTCCGGCAATGATAACGAATCTCGGAATGGCGTCGCAGTGATAGTAAATAATGCCTTTAAAACCTCCGTAAAAGAATACATAACCGTCAGCGATCGGATAATTGTTGTCAGAATGAATGCCAGTCCAGTTAATCTTAATGTGGTACAAACATATGCCCCAACAAGCGAAGCTCACGATGAAGAAATCGAAACATTTTATAGTACGTTGGAGCAGACGCTTAGGAAGCTTCCAAATAGAGAAATCACAGCAGTCGTAGGCGATTTCAACGCTAAAATTGGTGTAACTACAGAAGATCATTACTTGCGAGAGACCGTCGGATTATATGGACTTGGCCAAAGAAATGACAGAGGAGAACGCTTGCTACACTTTTGTATAGACAACAACCTGTTTGTTACTAATACAGGCTTTCAACATCACCCAAGACGACTATACACTTGGATATCACCAGGAAATAGATACAGAAATCAGATAGATTTTATACTGGTAAAAACCCGTTGGAGGAGCGCTGTTAAGGATGTTAAGACCTATCCAGGAAAAGATTGTAATAGCGACCATCAATTTTTATCAGCTGAATTCCGCATGAAGTTAAGAAACAGTCCAAAAACAGGAAATACAACAACTAAATGGCATCTAAGATATAACGATCCGTACAAAAAAGCCGCAATGCAAAAGCTATGTGACCTCAAACAATCATTAAATCCAGACGAGTCCTCAAACAGCATATGGACAAAAACAAAATCGATATTGCATAATGCTGCGAAAAATATTAAGAGTGATAGAGAAGAAAGAAGGAAACAATGGATAACGGACTCCACGTGGACTAAAATACAGGAGAGGAAGTGCTTAAAAGCCACAGGACTGAACAGTGAAAGTGATAAAGAGGCCTATAAAGCGCTGAACGGTCAAATAAAACGACTCTGCAAAAAGGACAAGAACACACACTTGAACAAAATCTGCATGGAAATAGAAGGGCATAAAACCAAAACTGAGACCAGAGACATGTTTAAAAAAATAAAGCAGATAACACGTTCCTTTACACCAAACTACCCTGCTATCAAAGATGATAACGGAACTCTACTCACTTCTAAAAAAGATATTTTACACAGATGGAAAGAATACTGTGGACGACTGATGATGGAGGAAAGCACAGACGCCCCATCACAACAAGAAGATGCCAGTTTTGCGACGGAACCTGACGTACTCAAAAGTGAAGTTGAAGCAGCAATTATGAGGCAAAAAAGTCAAAAAGCTGCCGGTCCAGATAACATACCTATTGAAATGATTTGGGCCCTAGATGACGTTGGAGTGGATATAATACATCAAATTTGTCAAAGAGTGTGGGAGACAGGTAAATGGCCTGAGGACTGGACACAATCACTATATATTCCCATACATAAAAAGGGAGCGAAAGATTTATGTAGCAACTATCGCACAATTGCTCTAATTGCGCATTGCAGTAAGATACTCTTACACATAATTCTCGAGAGGATAAAGCCCTTTTTACTACCTAACATTGCGGAGGAACAAGCAGGTTTCGTCCCAGGACGTGGTACTAGAGAACAAATTTTAAACGTACGGCAGATTGTAGAAAAATCCAGAGAATTCAACATCACAACATATTTGTGCTTCATAGATTATAGTAAAGCTTTCGATTTGGTCAACTGGAGTAAAATGTGGCAGGTTTTGTCTGAAATGGGAGTCCCTAATCATCTGATACTGCTAATTAAAAGCCTGTACAATAACAATTATGCCAGAGTTAGAATAAATGGGGAACTAACTGACAGTTTCAGGGTCACAAAGGGCGTGAGACAAGGCTGCATACTAAGCCCAATTTTATTTAACATCTATGGTGAATGGATAATGCGGAAAGCTACTGAGGACTGGAACGGTGGCATCACCATTGGCGGGAAGAAGATTTGCAACTTGAGATATGCAGATGATACTACTATCCTCGCTAGTTCTGAAACTGAATTGATTCACCTGCTACAACGGATAGAAGACGTAACCTTATCGATGGGCCTTAAAATAAACAGGGATAAAACGAGAATCATGATAATTGACAGAGCTAACAACAATCAAAATCATCTGGTTAGGATAAACAATATCGCTGTTGTAGATAAATTTGTGTATCTGGGCTCATTAATAACCAACAAAGGAGGCTGTACTGAAGAAATAAAGCGGCGGTCAGCAATCGCAAAAAGCGCTATGGCAAAATTAACAAAAATTTGGAAAAGCCATGAAATTACTACCGATACAAAAATGAGACTAGTAAGAAGTCTAGTTTTTCCAGTTTTTACTTATGCATCGGAATGCTGGACCCTTACTGAGAAAGACAAAAAGAACATAGATGTATTTGAGATGTACTGCTGGAGACGAATGCTGAGAATACCATGGGTGGCCCGAAGAACAAATGAATCCATACTGGTCCAGCTAAACATAAAGAAAAGACTAAGAACACAAATAACAGAACAGATAATAAGCTATTTTGGACATGTGCTTCGAAGAAATGGTCTTGAAAAACTTACCATCCAGGGAAAAGTAGAAGGCAAAAGAAGTAGAGGTAGATCTCCTACACGATACACGGACCATATTGTTGCTACCATTGGCGCTCCATTGTCAGAATGTGCTAGATTGGCAGAAGATAGAAAAACGTGGAGGAACATTGGAAAAATTACCTAACAGCTTCATGATATCACGATACCTGCATCAGGTTAACGACTAAGAAGAAGAAGAATTGTCTAGTCAAAGACTTAAAAAATGTAATCTCATCAAGAGAAGTGGCTTTGGGTGCGTTGATAGACATCGACTGGGCATTTGATAATACCCCAATTGCGTCTATTAACGTTGCCACAACAAAAAAGGGTATACATCTTCCACCATCAAATGGATTTAATATAGGCTCAGTAATAGGAATATTATGCTAGATCAATCTGATTAAAAGGCTGTCCTCAAGGAAGAGCTATATCACCTATACTGGGGTCGATAGGCATTGACGATCTGTTAAAAAAAACTCAGAAAAGAAGGATTTTGCGCCCTGGGCTATGCAGACGATCTAGTTATAGTGGTTAGAGGTAAGCATGGCAGTATTATTGCAAGGTACCTTAAACATAGTAACATTAGATCCTACTAAAACGGCACTCGGTTCGTTCACAAATAAGATGAAATTAACAATTCAATCTCGGAGACCATGAATGGAACACTAAAGCAAATAGCGCCACTAAAACAATAAGAGCTCTTTGAACGTGCCGTAGTCTTTGTGGCAAAACATGGGATGTGAAACCTAAAATGATCTACTGGTCATATATAACGGTTATGAGACCCATAGTTACTTATGCTACGCTGATTTGGTGGAACAAAACAACGCAGCAAAAGATACAAATGGAGTTGCAAAAACTGCAGACTCGCTTGTGTAGCAATCACCCGCTTTGTGTTGCAATCATGGACGCAATGCGA